GAGACTGACCCAGGGCTGCACCCAGGTTTTATTCAGTGGAGGAGGAGTGGCTTGAGGAGGAATGACTGAGAATTGTGGGAAGTAGGTGAATGCTGTGAGCTGAGCTAGGTGGGTGGCCTACATTCACCTCTGCCATGTGCAGAGGGGATATGCAGAGAAAGTAATTTGCATTATGCTATTGAGATAGTATCTAATGTTTAGGGGGTGTCTGGTGCTTTGGCTCTTCAAGCCCCAGGAAGTCACAGCCTCTATCTCGAGGCTGATCTCAGCTGGCAGTGCACTGGCCCTTCATCCTATCTCAACTCAGCTCACATTAAAGAGCTGGTATAGGTTATCAGGGAAACACGCATGCTACCTTCAAACACTATCACCAGCACCTCAGCTGGACCAATACACATTGCTTAAGGCCAATTGAAAGGATAAAGAGAAGTCCTAGCCAGCTCTGTACATATCAATACAAGGGAAGAGGGTCAGGCTCAGCCAGGATGGAGACAGTCGCTCTTCTTTCGAGGAGAGCTGTTCAGGTGGTCCTCCACAGTTCTGAGTTCTGTGCCAAGACACACACCACACACGACCTGGGGGGTTAATCCAGAAGCAGACTCAACTCTTCAGTCCACTGTAAGACCCATCTTTTTTGTGGTGCTGGAATTGAACTCAGGGCCTCTCACCTGTTAACCATGCACTGCACCACTGAGCGGCATACCTTTAGTACCAAAAGAGCTCAGAAATTGGAAAACTCATTTAACCCTTCTTGTTCTTCTCTTTTTCAGCTGACCCCATTGCCCAGGTCCACCAGGCCTTCTGTAAGAACTTGCTGGAGCGAGCTGTAGAGTCCTTGGTGAAACCTCAGGCCAAGAAGAAGGTTGGAGACCAGGAAGAAGAGAGCTGGTAAAGTCCCCAGACCACCTTGCATCTGGCCCCATTCACCCAGGATGCACCGGGGACAGGAACAAGCCCTGGTGTTAGGTGGTCCCAGAAACAGAATGATTGCTTTGTATTTCTTTCTTTCTTTTTTGTTTTCCTTACTCCTTTGTATTTATTTCTCAAAAATAGAGCTTCCTGTGAAGTGTGACTTTTTTCTAGACTAAGTCCCTTCTCCCAACTGAGTTACCCCCTCAACAAGCAGAGCCACTTGTTGTAGTGTGTCAGGAATTTGACTGGTTTGCTTTGCTTTTGGGGTGACCTATCTAGAAGGGATAGGAATGGGACATGGAGAGCTTGACAAAGGGCAGATACCTCTGACATCTAGGGGGCCCAGTCCCTGGGTAAGCTTGCCAGGCAGTTTTAAGTCTTACATAGATGGTGATGATAGGCACAGAATATGACCTACAGGCCAACCTAATAGCTCAGTGGATTAAAGCGCCTGTAAGCAAGTGCTTGGGCCAGGGGTTCGATCCCTGGGCCTGCCATACAGGCCCTGACCCCGGGCCGCACTGAGATGGCAATTGAGACTGGGCGTGGTGGCACAGGCCTATAATCCCAGCACTTGGGAGGCTGTAAACAGGTGGATCTCTAAGAGTCCGATCTAGTAGTGAGACCCTGAACACCCTGTAGACCTTCTCTCTCTCACTAAATCACACAAGGCCCCTGTACCCTTCCCTAAAAATACGGGGGAAAAAAAGAATATGACCTGAGAGACACAGAGGTGCCAAAATCATTTTGTGCAGGTTGTGTCTTGAGAGGCAGTTCCAGCTGGGAGTTAAGAAACTTCTGGAAGCACATGACATTGGAATGGGGCCCTCAGGGAGGCACTGGTGTTGGTTAGGGAGAGGAGGAGGAGAAAGGCTGGGCTGTGTAGCATGTGAAGCGTGAGCTTGGTGTGCCTAGAATGGTACAGGGAGCAGGCCTTCAGGTGTCAAGAGCTGAACATCGGGACTTGAATGGGTTTGTCTATGTTTTGTACCTTTTCTTCTCTTTCTAGTGAATTCTCCAGTGCTTTGGAGTACCTGAAATTACTTCATTCTTTTGTGGACTCGGTGGGGTTTGCAGCCCCGCCATGCTCTAGCAGCTCTGTGCTCAAGTCAGCCCTCGGTGAGTGTCTGTAGATTGGGGACAGGGCATCTGCTGCATCCTGTCCAGCCTCTTGTCTAATACAGGTCCAGGATTAGTTCCGTTGCCCCTACATTGCCCCAACCCAGTTACCACCATGGTTAGCATTCTAGGCTCAGAGATGAGGGCACTCATCCACGTGAGTTGGGCAGGGTATGTGATTGTCTGCTCAGCGTGCCAAGGGAGCCAGGTCAGGACCTCGCCTAGATGCCAGAATGGGTTGGTAGATGCTTGCCTTCCTGGCACATGGTATCCTGGGGCTGGTGTTGCCCTTCATCCCGAAGACTTCTGTTTGGACGTCCGTCGGGCTCCCCACCACTGCAGGGGTCATAGCATACCCCGCCAGCCCCACGACTCTGCTCCTTGTCCTGCATTGCCAAGGGGATAGCACATCTGCTGCCCTTTCTTGGGCTTCTGCACTATTGAGGAGAGGCTGGGGGTACCACGCTACCCTCTGCCCTGTCTCCCTAGGGAAGGAAGGACACCAGAACAGCATCCTGACCTCGTGATCCATCTTACTTTACAAGCAGAAGAGTGCATGCTCTCAGCCTTTGGTCTTGTGTGACCATCCCCATGGGCTTTATGAGATCCTGTTATCCACATTTTGCAATTAAGAAAACTGAGACTCAGAAGAGAGAATTTAAACCACTCTAAAATGAGTCCATTACTACAGATACTTGGAAGGCAGTGGTTTTCATGGCTATTGGAAATTTAGGTTGTGTCTAGCCCTTACAGTGAACATTTTGTTAAACTTGTCTATTTAATCCTATTTTAGTCTGATGGATTGCCCCAAATGAGATTAATAGAAGTGAGACATATTACCAGGCCTTTTCCAAAAGATTGCAGGTCATTACATACGAGCCCCCTGCCCATTGCTGTGTGGTAGAGATGCTGTGGAGCAGTGGCTGCAGAGCCCTGTGCTCCACAAAACAAATTGCCGTGGGTGCTAGAGCGTTTCTGCCATTCCCTGTAGGGCCAGACCTCATCTGCCGCTGGTGGACATCCGCAGTCACGTTGGCCATCAGCTGGCTCCAGGGAGATGATGCGGCTGTGCGCTCCTGTTTCACGGATGTGGAGCGTGTTCCCAGCGCCCTGGAATTGACCGAGTGCGTAAGCCTCCTGCTTCTCTCCAGCGGCCTTGTGTGGGTTAGTGGGAGAGAGGTGTGGGTGGCTCTGTTGGGGTGCAGGGTTAGAACTCTGCGATAGATGGGGGCCATAGCAGAGGAGCAGGCACCAAGGAGAGATGTGTACGTGTGGTGCGCAGCTCACAGCTGTCCCAGCAGCTGCCTGCTGCTTCTCAGGCCTCCCCCACAGCCTCCACACGCCGCAGGCTGCTGAGATGAGGAGATGAGTGTATCTTGGCGGCTCCTGTGTTGTGTCTTGGTTCCTTTCAGCCACCCCTCACCCCTTTGGCTCCATCAGCCTTCTACAGTACAGGGCCTGTGGCACGAGGCCTGAGCAGAGCACTTCTGACACTGTTTTCTGAGACGGGTGCCTGTGTCTTGGGGGCATGTGGCCCATAGTGATGGGTGGCCTGACTCTCCTGATTTGATCTGAGTGCTCCTGAGATAAACTGTAAGGTGCTGTGAGGTAGAAAGGCCCCAAGGGGTCCTGGCCTGAGCACCAAGGCAGACACACGTCTCTGCTAAGTAGACTGCTTGCCACTTGGGAATGTGGGAGGCAGCCGAGCAAAGGGGGCAGGCAGGTTAGAGTCCTATTTTCCTGCAGTGGGTCTGATGCCCATGGCCCACTTCCATTTGAGTAGTCCCATTTTAAGTCCCCAACCCTGCGCCAGCACTGTGTTAGCGTGCCACAGTGTGCCACCCGCCAGCTTCCCTGGGGAAGCTGAGGCCAAGCAGGCAAGTTGCTGAAGTCCCCTCACTCCTAAGCTGCAGAGTGAGGCCATCGCCTCAGTGGGCATCACTCCCCCACACCCAGCCTCACAGTGTCTCTAGAAACATTAATACCACTTTTCTGAGAACAGGTAAGCTCAACATCTTTATCACCATAGGTGATAGCAATTGATATTATAGTCGCCTTATAGTAAGGAAACTGAGATGCAGATTGTTTGAGCCTGGATTTCTGGTCCTAGCATCAAATGAAAGGGGATAAGCTGCCCTTGCTCCTGGCAGGCCTGCAGATCTGGAGGTGGCAACTGGGAACCATGGTGGCAATGTGTCATAGCAGTGTGGGGGATGGTGGTCACCTCTTAGGTGCCTCTGTTATCGAGGTAACACTGTGACCTGCCTCTCCCTCCCTGTCACGGCCACAGGAGCCCCCTGGTGAAGGCCGTCTTTCATGCCTGCAAAGCTATGCACGCCTCACTCTCTGGGAAAGCTGATGGGCAGCAGAATTCCTTCTGCCATTGTGAGAGGGCCAGCGGCCACCTGTGGAGCAGCCTCAATGTCAGCGAGGCCACTTCTGACCCCGCCCTCAACCACGTGAGTAGGGGCTCAGCTGTCCCTTCAAATGTGCTGGCCTCCACGCTGTGACAGCACCCTTGCCTACTCCCAGAATGTGGCCCGTTTGCCTAGGTGGATACCCTCTCCAGTCCCTGGGGGCTGAAAACATTCATGTCAGCACCCGTCCTCAGCTGAGTCCCAGCTCCTAGGGGCCACGTTTGCGCAGCCCCAGGTGAACTGCAGTTGGCCAGGGCTGTGCAGTGGCTCATGCAGCCTGCTCATAGCTTGTGCTGTGCTGCTGGCCTCCCGGGCCCTGCCCTCTCACACACCTCGCCACTGCCTGCGCCCATCTGGCAGGTGACTGCGGTGCATTGTAGTTGCATTGCATGTTCTGGCGGTACCGTGCAATGTTTCCACAGTGCATCCCAGAGGCCCGCCCGCCCGCCTGCCTGCCCTCAAGAGGCCGCTGTGACACACACAACACACGGACTGACTGACTCTCTCTCTCTCTCTCTCTCTC